TAAGCCGGATTGTAATTACCAAGTTCAGTTTCTATGATAGTTATACTGCGGAAGGTTCTTAAACAGCCTGAAGTCTCGACTAAAGGTCTTCAGACCCTCTCAATCTAAATCTCTAGCGGGCGACTAACCTCCACCGGAGTAAACAGATTGAGGCTCTAAGAACAAAACATCCACTACCGGAATGAATCCGGTACAGAATAGTGAGTTGGTTCCTCGACTAAAGTCACCAACTCCCTATCTTCAATCAAGGATACTCTATTAACCTAGGCAGATATTCTCATTCTAGGTTAAAGCAGAAACAACAGGAATTTGATCAGGATTCAAGTCATTCAATCATTCAAACCTCAATCGAATATAATCAATCATAGAATCAGTACTTGGGTTCATACAATCAAAGCCTAACATACAAATCTAGGGTTCTCCATACCCAGATGAATGGGAGAACTACTCCATGGAGAAGAAAGCAAAAGCAGAATCAGACGCGGAATTCATACTGTGAAGGATGGATTCCTGCTCCTGGACGTTGATCGGCACTTCTCCAAGCTCAAACTGGCCTCCAATGGTGTTGAAGATCAAGCTAGGGCGCTTGGAGACTCTTTTTCGTCGCTTTCTCTCTCTAGGAATCGTTCTTTCTCTCAAAAACTCGAATCCCCCTTCTCTTTGGCTGAAAATCTGCTTAAAAAGGCATCAGAGGCCAAAGCACGGTCGAGGACACGGCCGTGCTTTGCCTGAGCCCGCCCGTGCCTCGGCCAAGGTTAATTACACGGCCAGCAGTTGGGAGAAACACGGCCATGCTTCGCGGTGGACACGGCCGTGCTTTGGTGGAACACGGCCGTGCTTTGGTGCCCGTGTTTTCAGCTGAATTTGCCAAACCGAATTTGCTCTCGGCATAAAAAGCACGGCCACAGAAACACGGCCGTGTAATGCCTTGGGTGTGCCCGTGTTTTGGCCCCAGCTTGACGAAATGACCTCCGAATGCCCCGAAACTCGCGCTTAGCCTTCCCTTTGACACCTGGGACCTAAAACATGACAAAATAGCACAACCCGGCGTAAAATAGGCCAAAACACACGACTATGCCCCTTAAACGGATAAGAACTAGGGGCGCAAATATGTGCAATTACATCGTTATCAAACTCCCCCACACTTAACCGTTTGCTTGTCCCCAAGCAAACCTAACTCAAACCAATGCAACTCTCCAGACCTCTATAGCAACAAACAACCCAGATCGTAGGTAGAGGACTTCCTAGATCATTTAGCAACTTACGAGGTCAACCAACGCACAAGTCATCTCATAGCTCCTTCTGCGAGAGCACTAGTATCAAGTCGGCATCATGGCAAACAGTGAACAGAGGACAAATGAATTGTGGATGAAGAGATTCTAAAAAACAAAGGATCATGGACTCACTTTTTTCAAGGTGCTCTATTTTCTTTGAAGATGGTTGGAACCCCTTTTTTTCTGTTTTGCTTGTTTTCTGTTATTTTTTTCTTCTTTTTTTTTCAAGGGTCCCAACCTGCTCTTACCGGCCATGCCAGGAGCGGATGTCTCGAGCCTCGTGCGGGGGAAAGACATGTAAGGGGGCTGGAGGTAGTAGGTGGAAATTGGGAACGAATTCCCGTCTCCCCTTACACACTTTCGCCCTATTCGCACGGGAGACATTTATTTTGAAGCACATTTTCGAGCACCTGTTATTTTCAAAACATGACACAAGAGTCCATGACAGGTAGAGAATCCACAACACCACACAATTCAAGGGTGTTAGGAACACTAATTCACTCAATCAACCAACACAATATGAAGAAGAAATGAGATTTCTTAAATGCATCAACATCCTCCATAGTGCTACACTACCTCCCTAGGTTGCATATTACTATAAAGACTGTCAATTCAAAGCATACTGAGCAGGCAATTGCAAGGAAACACGTACTTGGAGCCCTCCAATTTAAAAATTTGGACAGTGGACTAGGCTCCAAGCACACAAACTGATCTAATGCAGTCAAAAGATAAACATCCCCCCACACTTAAGATCGACATTGCCCTCAATGGAGAAGAGGGAAGGAAAAGGGGAACGATGTTACCAGTATGCACGGACTGCAGGAGACTGGAAGCGGACTGGAGAGAGTACCAGTCAAGACAAGCACAGCCAAAGGAAACCAAAGAGCTCAAACACAGTATGTTAGGTCCAATGTCAGCCCAATAAAACATCATCCAAACCAAAAGAAAACAAACCAAACCCAAACCGGGTTACAATCTGACTCAAAACACAAGAAAGAAAATCAAACCGTGGTGGGGTTGCCTCCCCACAAGCGCTTCTTTACCGTCTTTTAGCTGGACGCCCATGGTGGATACTCAGGGCGGTGCAGGAACAGGTGCCATCAAGAGCGGATCCACGTCGCTCTTGAGGTACAGCTTGAGGTTGTGGCCATGCACCCGACGGATGCGACCACCATCATCGGTCAGCTTGACCTGGCCATCCGGCAAGATGCAGGCGAGTGAGTACCCAGACGGCCAGGGTGGTCGTGGTACCGGAGGTGGAACCTGGTCGCCACTCTTCTTCCGTAAAATAGGCCAAAACACACGACTATGCCCCTTAAACGGATAAGAACTAGGGGCGCAAATATGTGCAATTACATCGTTATCACGCGCCCAACCTTGCGCCCAATGGTTACAAAGCGACCTCACCTTTGCGCGCTAAAATCGCGAGAAGTAAAGTAAAGCCAAGCGCCCAAAAAAACGTTAGGATCACCAACGGAAACGTCTTTATATATATTTTTAAAAAAATAATACAACAGGGTGCCACATCATCCGGCGCCCATTCTTTACTCTGCCCCTGAGTTGGCATCTCCAGCACTGGGCGCCTTCTGGGCAGGTGACGGAGGAATGGAGCTGCTGGGAAGCGCATTGGTTGTAGGAGGTGCGGGTGCCCTTCCCGTTTCGCGGGGAGTCTCCAGCTCCCCTATCACATACTCAACCATTTCGGTCAAGTCCCAAGTGAGATCGGGGTGATCCTTCTCCAGCTTGATCTTCAAAATCTCGAGCCCGGTCAGGCAGGCGTTGGCACACATATCTTTGCCAGCCTCGGATTCCTCGAAGGCATCCAAAGAGTGGCGCAAGGTGGAAATTTCTTTCCGCGCCTCCTTCAAGGATTTCTTACTCTCCTTGTAGGCATCTTGCAACGTCTTCTTCTCCTCCTTGAGGGTTTCGATTTTCAGTCTATATATATTGTAAGTTCGACATTAGTCCGGGTTATCGAATAATAAACCAAAACTTCATCGACACCAATGACGTTCTCCCGCTTGTGAGTTACAAGAAAACCCTTGGAACGTGGGTTACGTTCCCATCAATTGGTGTCAGAGCCATGAGCGAGATGACAACAAAGAGGTTTTCGGTGCTGGAGCGGCGGTCGAGCAGCTGCAGCTTGGTCAGGAAGAGCTGAGTACGACCGTCCGTACGCTTCGCACTGAGTTTGGGGAAGTGTTGTAGGTGGTCCGATTGCTGACGGAGTGGTTCGATCGGCGGGAGGGGAAGTCGGTCATGGGCAAGGAGGCTGGCAGCGTGAAGGGCGGCGAGACGGGTGCTACCGAGAATGATGAGTCAGCGGCGAAGACGACAGGGGAGTCCAGTGCGTCGGCGACCAAGGCGGAGGGCGATAATCGGTGGGTGCGAATGAAAGGAAGGGGCAGCGGCAGTGCCACCTTCCTCACCGAACTAGCCAGGCTGGAGTTTCCCAAGTTTGCAGGTGAGGAGCTTGATTGCCACGCGTTGAGTAGTTCTTCGAATACCACGAGTTACCAGTGGCTGAAGAGGACCTGAAAGGACGTAGGCGAGCCAATTTTGTGGGAGCTATTTGTGCAGGAGTTGTGGCCGAGATTCGGCCCTACCAATGGTGAGAGTTGCGACAAAGCTTTGTCGCGTGTCCGGCAAACAGGGTGTGTCCGGCAAACCGGGTCTTTGCGTGAATATCAACGGGAGTTCGAGAAGCTCGCCAACCACTGTATATGATGGATGCCACCTTGACCTGCCAGCTCGGTGTTGCCGGGCAGGTCGAACTCCACGCGTGGACCAGGGCCAGTGAAGTGGCTCCATTGGGAGGAACAACAGCTCCGGCGAGCGCAAGGTCTATGTTTCACAAGTTCTCACAAGTTCTTTGAGCGTTCTTCTACTTTTGTGTAGTTTAACTACAACACTGGGTAGCCTGCCCCAGAGTCGATTATAGACAAGATCTATGGGAATACTCTTTCTGTAAGTATTGCTTATATTCTTCTAGCTTTCTCTCTTGGTTACTTACGTATCCACATCATATTGCTTACTCTCCCAGTTGCTCTCTTTGCTGAATAATATTATCGTCTGCCATCTATTCTACACATGCATGCCTCTAGTTCAATAGTGATACGCTACAAACTCTATTTAGCATGTATTCACTTTTCTAGTTAAATAGTGGGAGCATAAGAATAAGGTGGACGGGAAAATGCATGCTTGTGGCCATGATGATCATCATGTTGCAATGCTGGTTGGTGAAGATGAGAAACACATTCAGGTATCAGTCATATTTTATGGATCTCATGGATCTTCTGCATATGGAGCTTTTTGTATTGGATTTGAAATCGAAGAGATTCCACAATTAGGGTAATTATTTGGTTTATTGATTCCTTTTGATCTCATTTGACCTTTTAGAGAAATAACTAAGGCAATCCTATATCAGTTCCTCTTGAAGTACTATTTCATTAATTTGCTTTGGTAGGTGATTGATTGCAAAGAAGTGGTAAAGATCCATATATGGACATCTCACAACAACTCGAGTTATTGATACCAATTGGTCTATGAAATGACATCAAAGCGTAGTTTATCCTTGAGATCACGTATTGAATTACTCACGATCTCCAATATTAATTGTTGTCTAAACCCACATGGTATGATGGACCGGTGGAAATTTCAAACATATGACTTGGTTGTTGTGGAGAGGGTGTGTAAAGAAGTGATTAAGATCTATGCATATACTTTTCCGCACAACTCGAATTATTATGACCAACTATTAAAAGTATTAAATAAATGTATAACAAAAGGATAATTTAGAATTTTACGTTAATATATATAAAGCCGAAGAACAATTACTGTTGCCTAAAAAATTGCAAAACACAGTATATATAGTACTTAAGATAAGCTGCCCCAGTTACACTACCAGAATATCAGCTGGTAGTTATGAAGCTCTTTTTGACTTCATCATATATAAGCACTACCAGAATATCAGCGCTGGTAGTCATGATCATCATACTACATATATATGATATGATCATTTGATGTATTAAGCACAGAGGAAGCCGTCGGGAGCGACCCTGTTGCATTCGCCGAGAAGCAACTTGACGGAGGCGGCAAGGTCGACATAGATCGCTCCAAGAAGGTTGGCTTTCAGGGCAGCACAAGCACAAGCGGCGGCGTCAACATCAGCCGCCACCCCATCAAACAGACTACAGCACGTATCGCTTGGTGGCTTGGTTCCAACCCTGAGTTTCAAATACTGGAACAGGTCAACGCAAACGCTCAGCTCGCCCACCTTATCGGCGGAGCATGTCCCCGCAAACATGGCGGTGGCCGACGAGGCGAGAAGGACAAGGTTAAGGGCGAGGAAGAGAGCCGCAAGAGTTGCTGTTTTGGAAGAGGATGCCATTTAATTTGCTGTGTTGGGTTACTTAGGAGAAGTGAGGGTTTAGGTTTGGTTTGGATTGAAGGGGGAACTGAAACGGGGTTTATATAGACGGAGGCATGCATGAAAGCGTGGGGCCAGCCGACCTTTTTTGAAAGTCCAACGTTAGTGAATGTATTCGTGGAGTGCTTTGAGATTTGCTTTTGCTGTCTGCCTTTACACAAACACTCACGATTACTCTAGCTTGTTTCCCCCTTCTTTTAGGGTGCCCATCGACCACGTGAATTTTTTTGTGCTAGGGCGGCCTGAGGTTCTATATTTTATATATAATTGTGTGGTTGAGAGAGATTCAGTTATAACCCGATATCGCTTACTAAAAAACCTCTCAAACAAAAGTTACCATGTATGATCTTAAAATTTGCACAGATCGAATATCATGTGCTTAACAAGTGGGATTGTCGATATTCGAATATGAGATATCTAAGTCACAGAAGAATCTGATACCATATCAATAACTAGTTGGTCTCAATTAAGCCATCGAACTCACAAAATGCTCTGATACCATATCAATAATTAGCTGGTCCCAATAACTCGAAATATTAAAATTATGAGTGGTATAATTATGGATCATATATCATTCCAATGCGTAGAGGAGCCATCTGACAGGGGAAATTCCCATGATTGGAGATTAGTGTCAAACTCCAAATCACTATAGCCACGTCCAATGTTGATGTGACTTGAATCTGACTATCAGCCGCTACGACTGATAATCGGGGGTCTCGTTGTTATTTGGGTTCGGATTCTGGGCCTGGTCTGTAACCGTTTCCTTTGCCAGATTGGATTAGGTTTAGACCCACATGGAGAAGTACTATAAATACTTCTCATACTCCTCTGTAATTTGTAATCTCCTCGATATAGTGAAACTGGATCTCTCTCGCCCGTGGACGTAGCTAACACACATCGTGTTAGTGAACCATGTAAATCGTGTGTCTGTGTTTTTCGATTCTCGCTTTCGTATTCTTGCTTTGTCGAAATTAGAGCCGCGGCTGGAAATCAGGCTAGGGTTTTTTGATTCAGAAGAATGACGTCGCTGAACATGAAGATCGAAAAGTTCACGGAGAAGAACAACTTCGCTATATGGCAGATCAAGATGCAGGCTTTATTGAAATAGCAAGGGCTGTGGGGGCCGCTGTCTGCGAAACAGAAGAAGGCAGCGGTCGATGACGATGAGTGGAATACCCTGGAGGAGAAGGCCCACTCGACCATCATGCTATCGTTGTCTGATGGCGTCATCATTGAAGTTGCTACTGAGAAGATTGCCGCGGGCTAGTGGTTGAAACTAGAGAGTCTGTACATGACTAAGTCTCTAAACAACAAGCTGCATCTCAAGCAACGGTTGTTCAACTTGAGGATGCAAGAAGGTACGCCTTTGAGGGAACATCTCGAACAGTTTAACTCTATTTTGCTGGATCTGCGTAATATAGATGTTCAAGTTGATGACGAGGATGCTGATCTAAACCTGCTGGTTTCTTTGCCGAGTTCATATGAGAATTTTGTTGACTCTTTTATTGTCGGTAAAGAAAGCATGTCCTTGGAAGATGTCAGGTCTGCTCTTCATACGAGAGAGATCAGACATAAGGCGTCCGGATCTGGTACAGGTGGTGAGGCATCGGGTTTGGCTGTTACAGGTGGAAAGGGAAAGAGGAAATTTGGTAAAGGGAATTCGAACAAGAATTCCAAGGGTCCCGGTCCAAAGCCAGGTGATGCTTGTCACAACTGTAAGGAAGTGGGGCATTGGAAGTACAACTGTCCCAAGAGAAGAGGGCAATAGAAGAAACAAGGTTCATTTGTCGTGGCAGAAGTGGACAACAGTTCTGAAGACGATCTCGCCTTAGCTGTAGATGAGAAGGCACATCGTGGGGATCTGTGGTTTCTGGATACTGCAGCCTCATACCATATGTCTCCGAACAGGGATTGCTTCACAACCTACGAGCAGATAGATGGTGGTAACGTGGTCATGGCTAATGTAGCTGTCTGCAAGGTTGTTGGAATCGGGTCCATAAAGGTTCCAACACATGATGGTTCGTTCTGTACCGTGAATGATGTCATGCATGTTCCACAAATGACAAAGAACCTGATCTCCTTGAGTCTACTCGACAGCAAGGGTTTCAGTTTCAAAGGAAAAGGTGGAGTTGTGTATGTCTGCAAAGGTTCAAGGAAGGTGCTGAAGGGCGTGAAGCGTGGGACCTTGTATGCATTACAAGGGTCTGTGTTGTCTGGTTCTGCTGCAGTTGCACCGTCTCTCTAGCACATGAGACTGGGGCATATGAGTGAACGAGGGATGCAAGTTCTATAGAAGAGAGATTTTCTTTGCGGGCACAAGGTGCGGAATTTGGAATTCTGTGAGCATTGTGTGTTTGGTAAGCTACATCGCAGCAAGTTTCCCAAGAAGGGTATCCACCGGACGAAGGGGATACTGGATTACCTCCACTCCGACTGTTGGGGTCCTTCACGAGTTGAATCCATTGGAGGCAGCATCTATTTTCTGTCTATTTTTTATGATTATTCGAGATTTACTTGGATTTTCATGATGAAGCAGAAAAGTGAGGCTTTCACGAAGTTCAAGCAGTGGAAGACATTGGTGGAGAATCAGACCGGTAAGAAGATCAAGAAGCTGCGAAAGGACAATGGTCTGGAGTTCTGTAATTCCAAGTTCAACGAATTCTGCAAGGATGAAGGGATTGCCCGTCATCGGACTGTGAGAGATACACCCCAGCAAAATGACGTTGCAGAAAGGATGAACCAGACGTTGTTGGAGAGAGCACGGTGCATGCTCTCTAACGCTGGACTAGAGAGAAGATTTTGGGCAGAAACAGTGAACATGGCGTGCTTCCTGATCAACCGTGGACCTCACACAGGTATTGAGTTGAAGACTCCTTATGAGGTGTGGTATGGTAAGCCTGCTGATTACTCTTCACTGAAAGTTTTTGGGTGTCCTGTTTATTATCATGTGGATAAGGTAAACTGCACCCAAGGGCAAAGAAGGGTGTATTTGTGGGTTACAGAGATGGAGTTAAGGGATTTCGAGTCTGGTCACCTTCTGAGCATCGAGTTATACTCAGTAGAAATGTGATATTTGATGAGAAGTCTATGTTTAACCCCATGTTGAAGGTTACTGTTGTTGAAGGTAGCAGGAATGTTGATAAGCAGGTGGAGCTGCAAACTCTCAATGAGAGTAAGTTTGAGCACCAAGGTGGAGAAAATCAACATGAGGATGTTTCTACTGAGCCAGAAACTTCAAAGTCCAGTGCAGGAGCTCAACAGTCTATAGCTTCCGGTAGACCAAAGAGAGCGACAGTAGGAGTACCTCCAGAGAGGTATGGTTTCGAGGACATGGTGGCGTATTTATTTCAGGTTGCTGAAGAAGTGGATGCAGGTGAGCCACAGTCCTATAGAGAAGCCGTTTCGGGTGGCGAAGCTGATCAGTGTCTTGCCGCAATGGGAGATGAGATGGAATCCCATGACAGGAATCAGACTTGGGAGCTAGTCAAACGACCACAGGGAAGGAAGATTGTTACAAACAAGTGGATCTACAAGAAGAAGGAAGTAATCTCTTCTAAAGAGGGCATGAAACTTAAAGCTCGGGTGGTTGCACGAGGCTTCTCATAGAGGGAAGGAGTTGACTACAATGAGATTTTCTCACTAGTGGTCAGACATACTTCGATCAGAGTGCTACTAGCAATAGTGGCACATTATGACTTGGAGCTCGAGAAGCTAGACGTGAACACAACTTTCCTACATGGAGAGTTGGATTGGAGGAAGAAATTTACATGACTCAACCAGAAGATTCGAGGTTCCGGGAAAAGAAGACTATGTTTGTAAGCTGAAGAAGTCCTTGTATCGACTTAAGCAATCTCCGAGGTAGTGGTACAAGAGATTTGACAGTTACATGCTTGACCTGGGCTATAGCAGAAGTCCATATGATTGTTGTGTGTATCACAACAAGGTGGAGGATGGTTCGATGATCTATCTTGTTCTGTATGTGGATGATATGCTCATAGTTGCGAGGTCGAAGTCTGATATCCAGAAGTTAAAGGGACTTCTCAGTGCTGAGTTTGAGATGAAGGATTTGGGAGCTGCTCAGAAGATCTTGGGTATGGAGATTTACAGGGACAGGTCGAAGAAGAAGCATTTCTTGTCACAGAAGAGCTACATCCAGAAGATACTGTCGAGGTTTGGCATGTCTTCAGCAAAGCCCTTAAATACTCCCAGTGCTACAAATGTTCATCTATCCTCAGCTTATGCACCGCAGTCAGAGGCTGAGAAGGAGTACAACCTGGGAAAGAGCATTGGCAGGCTGTGAAAAGGATCTTCCGGTACCTTAAGGGTACACCTGATGTGGGGATTAGCTTCGGAAGTGATACAGAGTGCTTGGTGTCTGGGTATTCTGACTCGGACTATGCTGGAGATGTTGACACGAGGAGATCGATGACCGGTTATGTATTCACTCTTGGGAGTTCTGTAGTGAGCTGGAAGGCAACTTGGCAGTCGGCGGTGACATTGTCTACTACTGAGGCAGAGTATATGGCGTTGACAGAAGCTGCTAAGGAGGGAATATGGTTGAAGGGACTGGTTGGTGATCTGGGTCTACATCATGATCAGGCAGTGGTGTATTGCGACAGTTTGAGTGCAATATGCTTGGCCAAGGATCAAGTCCACCATGAGAGGACTAAGCACATCGACGTGAGGTATCATTTCTTGATGACAGAGAAGAGGATTAAGGTGAAGAAGGTTGGCACCATGGATAATCCTGCTGATATGTTCACGAAGCCGATTCCACATGGCAAGTTCCAACACTGCTTGGACTTGATGAATGTCTTGAGTGGGTGACTCCGCCCTGCGGGGCATTGATGGCGGGAGAGAGATAGAAGGAGCAGAGTACATCAGAGATTTAAGAGGAAGAGGATTCAAGTCAAGGTGGAGATTTGTTGATGTGACTTGAATCGGACTATCAGCCGCTACGACTACTTTCTCACTTGCTCCAGATATGAATTGATGTAAATAGAACGAGCAGATA